GATCTCATCGTCTTGCCAAAGGGCTCGCAGCAATCCTCGCAAACATGACACCCTTCCCTTCAAACGGAAGAAATCGTCCGGAGTTCTCTGCCCATTTTGGTCTGTCGTGGGCGCGGCTGGCAGTCCGCCGAGGAGTTGGCCTCCGGCTCCTCAGAGAAGCGGCCGGGGCCGCAGAAGGCGCAGGCGGAGCCGTTCTGCTCGAAGCGCCCGGCAGGGCAGGGCTCGCCTAAGACGGAGGCGCTCTGCTGACGCGCCACTCGTCGCGCGCGTGCGAGAAATCAACTGAAATGAGAAACTCTCCGCGATGCCGGTGCCCAACAACCGCTACTTTTAGCACTTTTGCAGAAAGCTGCCATCCAACGAATCGCCGCCAAAAAAGCAGGCCACCTAGAACAAAACAATTTTGCAGAACTATGCCTGGGTTAGGACATCCCCTTTCCTCAGCCCCAGGCCAAAACAATCAAATCAAACCAGCCTCCATCCCCTTCCACTCTCCTTTTTTCATCTCCCCAAAAATCAAAGGGGTACCTTCCCTTCGGCCGGGCCGCACTCTGCTGCCCCCGCTTCAGGCGCCACCTGCCCGGCCGGGCACTCCGCGCACACATCCCCGGCCGCCGCTGCGAAGCGGCCTGGCGCGCGAGCTTCAAGCGGAGTTGTCTTTGGGGAGATGGTTGCGTATTTGGATTGATGATTTTGGTGGACGCCCTGGTGAGGAGGGAGTGCGAAAGCCAGCTGCGCGGAGTAAGATAGTTGAAGCGGAAGCTTGGAGACCGATCCCCCCTCGGTAGAAGGAAAGCGACGAGTTCCAAAACGGTCTCGTGATTTGCAACTGGGGGGTGCATCCTTTTTTCAGAAACGCCAGGCCCTGGGGGAGGCGTCAGAGCAGAAAAACCAAAAAGGCCAGGTGGGTAGCTCGCCTGCGTCACAGCTCGCGCAGGCACTGGCCCCTGGCTCGCTGCTGCTGCCCACGGGGCAGCGCTCGCAGGCGTCGCCTGGACACAAACGGGGGCCAAATAGGGCTGTCAGCCACTCCAATCACGAAAACCAGGGATTTCAGATGAGGATGCGTCTCCTTTGCCCCCTTTTTGAATTCCACGTTAATCTGCAGGCGCTTGGCCAACCAGGGATAGCCCCGCCCCCCTGTAACTTGGAGGTGCATTACAGTCGCTGTACCATCGGGGCCCAAGAAGAATTTGGACTGTAGGGGTTCTAACTTCTAAAAAGCGGGAAGGCGTTTTGCTAGATTGCTGGGTGCGACGGGGCGTGCAACTTTAGGGTGCTGGTGACGGTGCTGGCGCAGTCTTGCAAGATGGACGGCAGGGTGCTTGGGGGCATGCAGTTTGGGGTGCGGGTGCAGGTGCTGTTTGGGGGTGCTGTTTGGGAGCGCTGTTTGGGGGTGCTGTTTGGGGGTTCTTTCCTGCGGGCGCATTTTTGCGAGGGTGCCGTGACGGCTTTCAAGGGCTTGTTTGGCGATGGAGCGTTTGAAATCTCCGATGCTATCTGGGGTCTATGCTGGTTTTCTTGCAGGGGAGGTTGGGGGCAGGGGGCTATCTTAAGAGTTTATTCTCGACCTGGACTCCACTCAAACAGGTCGCACGCCCAGTAGTTCCCAAATGACGTACGACGAACGACTTGCCAAGTGGGTGTCATTTAGGGGGTCTCGACAAAATGCATTCCCCGCTGCCTTCCTTTTAGGGAATTCAACAACTCTCTCCATTTCATTTTGCCAGTCGCCAGGGGCCAACCTCTTTCTTTCTTCACATGTTTGAGCTTTGGTTTTCGGCTTTCAGGGCCCCCACAGCCTGGGCATTTCCACCCAAGCCCAGCCCTTTGGAGCCAACGGGCTGCTGGAGGCCCCGCTGGTGTTCAGGAAGCGCCCGGCCGCGCAGAACTGGCAGCCGCTGCTGCCCGAGAGCGCGCTGAAGGTGCCGGGCCCGCACAAAAGGCAGCTCTCCTCAGATCTCAACCTATGATATGAACCACCACATGCCGCCAGCTAGAAGCGAACAAGAGAGAGAGAGAGAGAGAGAGAGAGAGAGAGAGAGAGAGAGAGAGAGAGAGAGAGAGAGAGAGAGAGAGAGAGAGAGAGAGAGAGAGAGAGAGAGAGAGAGAGAGAGAGAGAGAGAGAGAGAGAGAGAGAGAGAGAGAGAGAGAGAGAGAGAGAGAGAGAGAGAGAGAGAGAGAGAGAGAGAGAGAGAGAGAGAGAGAGAGAGAGAGAGAGGGAGAGAGAGAGAGAGAGAGAGAGAGAGCGAGCGAGGAGAGAGAGAGAGAGAGAGAGAGAGCGAGAGAGAGAGAGAGAGAGAGCGAGAGAGAGAGAGAGAGAGAGAGAGCGAGAGAGAGAGAGAGAGAGAGAGAGAGAGAGAGAGAGAGAGAGATGTGGCGCTTTTCAACGTATGCATCAAGCTTATACATAAACATAGTGCAGATATGCATTCCTGAACATCTGCTTGCAGAACTAGAGGCCCCGTTGCAGGGGGGCCCCATACAAAAAGCAAGCCAGGCAGGCATGCTCATCTGGGTGTTGCCCAAAAATCAGGGGCCCCTTCTGTTCCAAAAGCAAACCCCTTCTGTTCCAAAAGCAGACTAAAAGGACACCCAGCCCTTTTCGACCGAGTGCTAAACAAGGGTCAGGACAAAAGCAACCAAACTGCCCATCCCATTTTGTTTCCAGTTGGAAAAAATCAAGTTTGGCCTATTTGGAACATACCCATGGGCCAAGATTCGTAGGCCGTCGCGCCCGTGACGTTGCCAAAGAAGCCCGGCTTGCAGGTCTCGCACTGGGAACGCCTCGGCGTCTGGGGAGCTGCACCACTCACTTCCTGAGTGGATTTCCTGAGTGGATTGCTCAGAAAAAGTCCAAACTTTTTGTGTGCCACTAAAATGGTCCACCCAACAAGCTTCAAGTCCAGGAACCCAGGAAGTGAGACCACTCCATGAGATCTTCCATGACAGAAAGCTTCACCGGCCAGGTCGGCACAATTTGACCAGATGACATGCGGGCTTGCGTCCTCGCTGGCTGAGAAAGATTGACGGGCAGGAGAACCTCTGGTTCGGGGTTTCTGGGATCCGAGCGTTGACCTATCCTCTGTACATTTGCCGGCCCAACCAGTTGAGAAGCTGGGAACCATAACTCTAGGTGAATGATAGCAAAGGGACCAGAAAAGATCCTCCCAAAGCTGCACTCCAGGTATCGTGGACGCGGGCTGTTCATGGCGCAAGGGGACCGAATGCGGCGCATCAGCAATGCCTGCTGAGGGGTTGCCCCCCCTCCAAAACTTGGCTTCATGCATGTTCCTTTCGGAGGCAAACGCGTATGCCTGTAGGAACCGATCTGCGCAAGCTCGCGAATTCACGGGCGAGCCCGTCACCCGAGCCCAAGGACCCGAACCTTCGCTCGCCAAGCTGCCCCGTCTCTGTGGAGTATCTGCCGGCGGGGCAGCTGCCGCACCTCCATAAGCAACCCTCCTGTTCAGTCCTTCTGGTGTGAAGTTTGTGAAGCATGCTTTGGAAAGCCATTGGCTGAAAGAACTGCCCAATGCGCCACCTCTAATTGATTCGACTCCACATTCCCTTCATCCTGCTCAGAAACCCAGCGTTTGGAAGCCCCCAAGCAAAGACTCCCGCGTGAACCTCGACTGAACCTAGGCATTAAAGACCTGACCGAAGCTGGGCCAATTGCAGAACAGCCGGCGAGCCCTCTCCCTGATCTGCCTGCCCACTAGCTGGATCTCAAAAGGAGGCAACCTGAACAATCAAACAGAAGCATCAGGAACAAACCAAAATACAGCAAACCTCAAACGAACAAACAAACGAACAAACGAACAAACAAACAGACAAACAAACAGACAAACGAACAAACACTACCAAACCAACCAAGGAACCAAACAAACCAAACCAACAAGCCCACAAAAACAACCAACAAATCAAACAGACAACCCAACAACACAAACCAAGCAAACAAACAAACGAATGAACCAACCAACCGACCAACCGACCAACCGACCGAGCGAGCAAGCAAATCAGCAAACAAGCACGCAAAAACAAAACAAACAAAAAACATGCCGGCAAGCCAGCCAGCCAGCCAGCCAGCCAGCCAGCAAGCAAAGCAAAGCAAAGCAAAGCAAGCAAGCAAGCAAAGGCAAGGCAAGGCAAGGCAAGGCAAGGCAAGGCAAGGCAAGGCAAGGCAAGGCAAGGCAAGGCAAGGCAAACAAGCGACCGGGCAAAATAAGAAACAAAGAAAAGGCGGCAAACAATTCCAAAGACAACCAAAGCGGCCAAACACAAAAGCAACCACACCGAACGGCTCAAACGGGCAAAACAAAGCAGCAAACAAATCAGAAAGCAAAAACACAAAGTCACAAAATGTAAAACATCCAAACAAAACAAAACAACAAACACACAACCAACCGCACAAGAAACACAAAGACGGACCGATAAACTCAACCAAACCACTTAAATTAAACATCAATTCAACCACGGGAAACATCACATTCTGCAAACAGTCTCAGTTACCGAGCCCCCAAGTAAAACGAAGAAGGGGAATTGGGGAGTGTCTCGCGCGATGTGTGATCTACTGTTGGCATTTGAAGGCTTAGGACGCCCTGGCCATAGGAAGCGCACCGATTTGAGAAACCCCATGGTTGCTCCGAGCCCCGCGCTGCTCGAGGCCCGGAAGACCTGCGAAGGTCCCTGCGGAGCACTCAGCGCAGGTCCAAGTCTCCTGGGATTCAGCCCGGCCGGTGGCTTGCGGCAGGTTTTTCCCCACCCCCCTTGGAGGGCCTGGGGAACAGACCGGCTCATCCTGGTGCTCTATGAAACCTTTCATTGATATACTGTATATGTACATTGGTATGGGTAATTGCCAATTACGGGGAGTGTCTTTATCTTATGAGGGGGTGTCCGGATTGCCCTTCTTTTTGGCGAAGCAATTGGTGGTGGGCTTTGAGATAATGGTGGGTTTTATGCGTCCCTTTGCACTTTGGGGACTGAATGGCTCATCGCAGGTGTATTGGCATTTGGTGGCATATAAACGCTCTTGGACAAACAGTGGCGTGCAGTACTTGCAATCCTCCGCGGGAAAGAAGCCGCACTCGTCCATCGAACTCGGGAAGTGCATAGTAAGCCACCTGCGAGACAGGTTGCTCTGGACGGAAGCAAGTTCTGCCACTGTCAGGCTTCCCACCCACCCCCTGCAGGAATCCTGCAAAGCTGTCGCCAGGGAGGATCCGTACGGTGCTGTGCCTTGCTAGGGCCAGAGCAATACAAAGAAAGAACATGGTTCTGGAGCAGGGCTGGGCATGTGTTACACGTTCGGATTGCAAGCACCTGTAAGCTATCCAACGGTTTTGAGTCAACAAATCCACGCAACCCCAGCTTGATCCACGTGTTTAAAGAATGCCCTCTAGAACACCCCGCCCCCATTTCATCGACCAAAGGTTTGCTGATCAACTGGGCGTGTCTTTTGTTTGGGGGTTCCTTTTTTTGGGGTGGCTTTAAGGGAAAACCAAAAGGAAAAACCTGCCCTTTTGTGGGTCCCCTTTAAACAATCACCAAAACGACACCCGGGAAGACCGAAGAAGGAAACCTTCATTGTGGGTCCCCTACCCACAAGACGCACCCAACCGGGTTCCCATTCGTTTCTGCCAGCCACGAGGTGCGAGCGGCCCGGGCCTCAACTGCAGCGCGCTGCGAGCCCAAAGGCGCACCTGGCGCTCCCCGGACGGCAGCGTCAGCGAGGGCGAGGCCTGCGACGCCTGGCGTGTCGGGAGAGCATCCCGGGGAAATTGGTGCAGTCCGTGGACCTACGGTGACAAAAGGTAAAGGCAAAAGCAAGTTCATGAAACTTTGTGGTTGACCAGAAATTCGTGGCAACGCCCCCCCCTCCAAGCAAAAAAGGGGATTGAAGATCTTCGATTGGTTGTCAAATGGGGGACCCACCAAGAAGCCGCCGCCGCCGCGCCTGGGCGCCCGCCTGCACCGTCCAAGCGATGGGCGCGAGCCCCGCCACCTGCAGCTCCAGCTCCGCAGCTTCTGCCGCCTACGGCACGAAGCTTCCGCCTGGTTTGGGCGTTGAACCCCTTGGTTTTTTGGGCATCGAATTGAAACGATTTCCGAAATAAGTCAAAACAAGCCGCAACCTCCAACTCTTCAGTGGCTTAAGCTGTGTTTGCATTTGAAGCGGTTAAAAGGGAACCAGAAGGAACACTGGAAACAATGTTTGGGAGGGTTCGCGGGGGGGGGGGGGGGGTCCGCGGGGGTCCTGTGCATTGGACTGTTCAAGCCACGAGGGGGTCCTCAAGTCTCCCAGGCGATTTCGGCAAGAGTCAGCATGAGGACTTTCCATCTTGATTGGGGGCTGCAGTCGAGTCATTGCCCTTGCCTTGGACCACACAAGCCTTGCGTAGAAACAACCTGTGCGTTGCTGGAAGGATGCAGCAGTTTCATGGCTGCCCTCTGCCCTTAGATGGCGTGCCAAGGATAACCAAACGAAAGCACAAGAGCCCTCATTGAACCACCAAGGACCCATTCACAACCCCATTCTAATGATTTCCGCACTTGCACTACCTGAAAAAAGAGACACCCACCCGGTTCCAGCTTCTGCGCCATGCGGCTGACACCCAGGCGGTAAAATAGACCGAGCGCTGCGAGGCGCATGCCACCCGGAAGGTGAGGCTGCCTGGCACTGATCGCAGAGCCCAAACGGCCCACGAACCCAAGAACTGCAAAAGCGCATGGGGGATCTCTTTGTCCAGCGCGGACTCCCCACCATCATGCCCCGGTCGGGTTCAACGTTGGTCGGGAGGGTACTCCTACTTGCTAAGCATCCTGTATTCCATGTGCAGGTGACAAATGCGGTCGGCCCCGGCCTTCGTGCCTCCAAACCTCTGATTCGACCCAAAAAGATGAACGAAAAACAAAGGCCGGGGATTCCTCCACAAATGGGTTCGGTTTGGGGTGTCGATGGATCAAGCCGGAGGCACTGGCAGCCCTGTGCAGATCCACCTAAGTCTCCCTTTCAGGCAAGACCACTCTCTAGGGTTATGGGAATTGCCCACTGCCGCGATGGCCTGAAACTCCGCAAAAGCGGGAACCAACCGCTTGTTGCTGCAATTTCCTCCCACCCCACCCCCCTCACCCAAATTTCATCCCACCCCTCGCCGAGAGTGTCCCATTTTTGAGCGCCTCCACCCCATCCCCCACCCTCCTGCGCAGGCGGAGCAAAGCCCTGCCGCCCCGTCGCTGAGCACAAAGTCCCCGGACACGTTGGCCAGGTCCTCACGTGACTGGTGCAGGCTGTTTCATCACCAAAACAAGCGCCAAAGGAAACCAAACCGATTTTCTGCTGGGCGTGAAGGGCAACTCACTTGAGTGGATTGGCCAACAACTGTCCAGACGTTGTTTACCACCAAGATCGCCTTTGCAAAGAACTGGGGAAGTAAATAGGGAAAAAGAGAACCATGCTCAACTGAAACTTATACTAACAAATCAACAACAACAAATCAAAGCGTGACATTCAAACAGCAGCATTTGATATTACCCCCCCCTCCCCCCAGTGCGGAAGGGCGTCTGCGGATGCGGTGGGGCTCAGCATAGGCGCCGCGGCGGAGCCTTCCGCGCAGGGCGTGCACTGGGTGGCACCCTCCAGGCTCTGCTCCTAAGGCCGCTGAGGAAGGTGGTGTGCGGGGCGTGCGGGGCGCGTGGAAGAATCAGCTTCTCAAAGGGCTGCCAAAGATTGTGTTGTTTTGCCGCTTCAAAGTTAGACGGGCAAAAGTTCAGTTTCAGTCAGGCTTGGCAGTGGTTCCAGGTGCACTTCAACAAACGCCTCTGTATGCCTCTCATGTGGCTCTCACGCTGGTACGGGTGCCCATGTTGGGCGACTGTTGGGTTGTTTGCCGGGAACAGTACCCTCAGCCCCTCAGCTGGTCCGCCCTCACCGCAGGCGCCCCCGGAGGAGTTGTCGATTGCTAAGGGTGGAAACTCGTCCACCCAATTGGGCACCAGAACCATGGTCCCATCCAAAGTAAGGGCAGAACCATGGTCCCATCCAAAGTAAGGGCACACCACACTTTTTCTGAAACGCCTCAGTTTGAGTATGACCTACCCAGAAAAACATGCACATGTAAGCCGGAAGCTTCCACGACAACAGAGGTGAGAGACTGGAAGATGCTCGAACTTCGGAGGCCCACACTTTTAGGACAGCCCTCCAAGTGTCCCGAAAGCATTAACAGCGAATCCCCTCTGCGCAAAGCGAATCTTCAAAAATTGGTGGCTTTGCAAGACGCGCCTGAGGCACCTTTCACCCAGCATCAGCCAACCAAACCTCCACCCTACAGTGAGTGGAAGTCAGGCCCGCCAATGGATGTGGACCGGAAACCCTCCACGCACATGAATCAGGGAATGGCAGCGGGCTTCCTGCACCTTTCCCTTTCAAACAACACCAAAACCTGCCATGCCCCAGCAACCCCCGCAACCCCCCCCCAACCCAACTTGCGCCAGGGTTCGCCCTTGGCGCAGGGCAGGCAGCTCTGGGAACTCTCCGCACCGGCCACCGGGTTGTAGCGGCCCCGCGCGCAGGGCAGGCACCCCGCCTCCTATTTGGTTGCGCTACAGGAAGCCCAAGGCAGAATCCCCACATTCCTCAATTGAACTTAGTCACAGACTGGTTGACGAATAGGGGGTCTGGGCAAATCACAAAATCATCCTTCCCATGATGGATTTCTGTTGGGGAGCGCAAAATCTACGTGCAACTTAGCAGCCAGCCCAGTATGTTCAAAACCCAGATGTTTTAACGGTGTTTCGGCGTGCTTTGGTTCCAGCCATGCAGAAAAGGGATGAAATCGGGGCCGGGGTCAAATGCTTTAAACCTACAGGTTCAAAACCGGCCAAAAGTGTGCGCTTCCATGCAATTGCTTGCTAGGGTTTGCAAGCCACCCAGCCAAAAACTAGGCTGCCGGAGCGAGCCCTTTGACGTATTTCCGAAGCAACCCGTGTGTGGGTAAAAGATTGGATTTGGACCAAAACAACCCGTAGCGTGTTTGCTTCCTAACTTCAGGGGATCCTGAAGTTAGGTTTCTACTAAACAGGCCCTAGGACAATCATGTGATATCATGCGCGTATTGCGTAGCGTCCATTTATTGGAAGATGGTTGAGCCCATTCAACGGGTCCGACATGGTCCGACAGCCCATTCAAACCGTGGAGGTTCCCCAAGCTTCCGGGTCAGCCCGTCCCCACCTCGTTGGAGATGAAGACCAGGTGGAAGCCTCCGACATCGAACGACCGTCTCAAAAGGAGTGCGCCCAAAAAAACGGGTACCCTCCTGCCCGCCAACCCTCTGGTGGATTCCATGTTGGTAGACAGGACGGCTGCCATGGCTAGTTTCGCATGACTCCTGAAAGAGGCGAGAGGCCGTTGAGGGCCTGCGGTTAGGCGGTATCAGTAAAATGCGAAGTTGGCATGACTTGCTGGGTCTCAGGAGGTTTGGGAATGATGCCAGGGCGATTTCCTGAAACGAAACCACAAGGGATGTTTCATAGGGGTCATTCCCTCATTGCCTGCTGAGAACCAGCAAGGTGAGTGCTTCCATAGCTGTTGCTTTCTCAGTGGTCGCCTGACATAACGCAGGATTGGACAACCAAAGAAAAAGGAGAACTCAAGTGCTGGAACCACGGGTAGAACAACTCAGCCCCCTTAAGGTTTGTGACTGCACGTAAGATATTTAATTTTCGCATCTGTCCAAACCTGGATTCGTTTTTTTCTTTTACGAAAATGAAACCAACCCCACTGCTACCAGGCGCCCAAAATGATGCCCTAAGAGACCCCCCACCCTTCCCCAGCCAATTGCAACCCAGCCTGGAAAGCAATCTGAGCAGTTCGCGGTGTTGCAGCTGTCTGTTTCCTGCAGCCCAAAGGCCAAGCCAAGTCTGGAGATGCTTGCGCCAAGCTTCTTAAAATGAATATGCCTGTGCCATGGTCCAATGGTTGTCTAAAGCCCCGATCCAGGGGTTGCAAGGACCATCCCTACTCAGCCCAAGAGAAAGTGTGCCTGTGCCGCAAACTCTTGTGCAACTTCCAGCCAGGTCTTAAACCTACAGGCCATATCCCATCAGACACAAAAGAAACAAAGCTCGACCCGGTGTTTCCAATAATAGGGGAAACTTTTTGTGTTTTCCCTTGGCCTACTTTCAAGACCACCCCCCCAAAAAAAAAAACACTGACAGACTTTCTTGAGGCCATCTGGAGCGAGTTTCGGACAGCTCGCCCACACAAGGGTCTCCACCGAATTCTTCCGGCACGGCAATGGCGCGCGTGCGGGTGTAGTTGCCGCCGTTGCAGGGCCGATTGCACTTATCCCAGTCGGACCAATCCGAAAATTGGCAGTTCACCTTGGCCAATGATCCACCCAAAACGAAGCCATCAACCCTGAATGCGTATAGATTTGCTTTATCCAGGCTGACTGATTTCCCAGTGGGAGCTCTGGGTTAAGTGTATCTTGCGAGAATCCAAAGCTGGAACCCTGTCCGTCATCATCCTATGATGTTGGGGTGAATTCGGCTCTTTAGCTTCCTATTTTGAGTATCCCTGACCCCCTAGCTCAATATCTATGACAATTCATGTTGGCATCGGGGCAGATAAGGAAAGATGGAACTATGAACGAAATTCCAAGAATCACCCACCTCCCCAAACGGCACGTGTCAGGGTGGGGATACAATGTAGAAAAAATGCAAAGATGTGCAAAAAAGTTCCCAAAGGCTGGCCCAGTGACCGGTGTGTTCGTCGTGGTGCTGGACACCGTTGTGGTCCAAGAAGTCGTGGAGGATGAGGTCCTTGAGGTGCTGGAAGTTCGACTCGTCGTCCTGGCCGACACGGGTGTCTGGAGAAAGCACCAGGATGCCCGGTTTCCCTTCGCATTCCGCAACACCACCCCAGGAAAGGGTACGCTCCAGGAAGATAGATGTCAAGTATGAACCTCAGAATCAGGATATCAGAGGTGCTGCCTTTGCATCGGAATCAGGCAAAAGTGGGAATGCTGATAATCAAGATTGCCATTCGGCCTGTCCGCCTTCAATGAACTCAAAAGCACAGCCTCTCCGCAGGCAATCCACAAGAGCATGCAGCTTACGCCTTTGTCCAACCCCCTCCCACAAACCGACTCCAAAGCATTGAGGCACCTGGAAATGACCTTCCTTTTTTTGCAAGCATGGAAGTGGATAGGCCCGGTACGGTCTCCACAGCCCTGTCAAAAATGAAACTTCCGTTCCCTTTAGCTGTTTGGACGACCTGTCCTATCAGCTCCTTTGGTTTCGCCCCAAATCGAAGCCAAGGTGCGTGGCAGTGGTGGTGGTGCTGGTCTTCTCAACCTGTCAACTCAGATGCAAACTGTGGAGCAAGTTGGGGGGCTGGTGCAGTCTTCTACTGGAGAAGCTACCAAACAAGGGGAGAAAGTGGTGGAGTCACTGAATCACCGAACAGCTGGGTGTCCAGACATCAAGTTTTTCTGGCAATAAATGGCAAAATGCGACAAAGCAGGGCAAGCTTCTCTGGCCGGAACTTTTCAGTGGTTGCGGGACCAAATTGGAGCCCCGCTGCATGACTGGGGAAGAAAGGTGGATCATTGATCCCTGATAATCTGGCTTCATCATCTGTTTGAGGCTCGGACCCTGTTTTCCTTTGGCCTTTTGGGGTCCCGAAGGGAACAACAAACAAAAGATCACCTCCTCTCCACCCGGCGCTCTCTTCGAAATTTTGCTGCCCTGGGCATCCCCGGCATTCTGCACGCCGCTGACGGTCAATGGAACCCCGCTGTCCGCCAAGGACTGGTTGATGCTCGCCGCCAACGCGGCACCGGAGGCGGAGAGCTGCCTCAAGTTGGGCCGCCTTGTTGGAACACGCTCGGTGATTCCGTTCAAAGCCTCTCGAGAAACTAAAGCAGGAGGGGTTGGCAACCCATTGCCTTTTTTTGGCTGCCCTTAGGATTGTTTGAGCACAGCCCGCCTTGTCGGAGCATGTAAAAACCTCAAGGTTGGTGCAGCAGTGCAGGATCAATCCTTCATTCGTGTGGGTTTGCATAAGGGCCAGGGTTGGGTCAAGCCCTGGCTGAAACCTGAAACAGGATTGTGTAAACCGTTAGGGTTTCAACAGCTGCCTTTGGGTTTCCCTTTGAAGGGAGCCACATATTGGTTGTTCAATCGGTTCTTTGCAAAAACCTTGCTCAGGCCCGCCACTGGTGCTCATTGGGGTTCCTCTTCAAACGTCATTTGTTTTGTGGACAGCTCCAGGCTAGCCACGGGATTTGCTTTCTGGCACTCTGCCACTGCCTGATGCGTCTGACTGAAACTTGGGTGGGTAAAAAGTAAAAAGTGTCGGAACAGACATCTGGAGAACTGAAAAGGCCAAGCCCCCGTTAGGAACATTGCGTTTGGTTTTAACAAGACAGCCTGAAGAAAAAAGCTGCACCGGCTTCAACTCAGAGAGGCAATGCAACCCAACTGCTCACCTTTGAAAGTCTCCTGGTCCCAGCCCCCCCATGTCCCACTGGCTGAGCAAAGCGGCGCTTGATCCAGGGCCTCGCGTGTCTGAGCCGGAAAAGCTTGGAGGGTGCCCGTTTGGGGCAAGTCATACGTTCACTGGGTTCCAACCCCATGTCCAAAATCACTCTATCAATGTCCAATATGCAACCGCGGAAGGGAGGCGCATAGCAGAACTTAAGGGTAAGGAATGTTTTGAGCAATTCACATTGGGAAGCCGCTATGTGGGCTTCGAACATCTAGTAGCCAGCCTCGATGGTCGCACCGCTGAGCCCTGTCTGACTGGGCGACTGTCTGAGCCAGCCACCTTCCCAAGAGAGATAACAAAGGATTATGGTTTGGGATTAGGGATGCATACACTCATGGAGTATCGTTTGGGATTAGGGATGCATACATTCGGAATCACCCAGATTATGCCACACAATAGCGAGAAAATGAGGAAATGGGTTTCTCAGCAGCCAGTGAGGGAGGTGCTGGAACGCCCCCTGCACACATACGATTGGCGCACTCGCCTGCTTCAATCAAGCGATGAACCATGGGTTCAGACAAACAAATCAAGAACTTCACATGGGCTGGGGCGATGCAACGTGATGCCCTCAAAGAACGCCTCTGCCTTCTGCTGCCAACTTCTTCCGTGCCACGAATGGGGTTGCAGCGGGTTCCCATTTCTTGTTGCAACTACATGTTTGCTGGAGAAAACTGGCACAAGGGGAGGTTCCACCTGGCACAAGGGTGGGACTGGTTTTGCGCAGCCTTTGTTGGGAACACATTGCCTCATGAAATTCTTTGTGTGCATTGTCTTAATAATACTAGTGATAATAATAATAATAATAATAATAATAATTTAAAAATAAGAATAAAAGAACGCCTACAGAGCCCATCTCCCTCTGATTTGCGGCCAAGAAGCCGATGTGCTGGGCACGGAGATCTCGTAGCCCACTGCCAGGATTCCCGCCAGGCGCCGCCCGGCCGAGGATCCCCACACCTCGAAGGCGGTCAAATTCACCATGTCCTCGCGCTCCGGGCGATTCAACCCCTGAAACCATGGGCTGAGACCGGCTGAGACCAGGGTTTTTTGGAACCGCCCGTCTTGAGCTTCCCTGAAGGAGACTTGTTTGAACCACGTCTCCTTGGCCAGGGGCTGGCTGGTTAAACAGTATTTGTCCGACCCCGGTGCCCAAACTTAGCTTCGGGGGAAGCAGGCAGGCTCTTGTATGCTGAATTGCGCCAAGCGATCTAAACTTATGCGAGGGATCAGTTCCAGGTGAGGAGCCCCCCCGTCCTGCTCCAGGCCAAGCCCGTCTGCCACACCCCGGCGTAGCGCCTCCTGGCCCGTGGCGTTGTCGGCGAAGAACGGCAGGGCGGCCGAGGGATCGTCCACGTCCAGCAGCAGCTCCCCCACCAGCACGCGGAACATCCTCAGACTGAACCGGCTGCTAAATTGCAAAATGATCCCTCCCGCCAAGAATGTCCCCGAATACTCAAATTGGTCTCTCCAAAATTGTCTGGCTCTGTGCTTTCCTTGTTCCATGCATGACACATGGTTCTAAATCGGGGCCCTTTTGAAAAACACAATGTAAACTCCGAGCATCAAAATGCCTTGCTTAAAACTTGCTTCCTGTACGTTCAGTTGTTAGGAAAGGGAACTGCTTGTTTTGAAGTACAGGGCGTTGCTTGTGCCATAATTTGGCCGTTTAGAGCCGAAAACCCAACTTGGTCCCGTAAAGAAAATAGAAACGCGGCGCAAAGCGTGTCACGCAACCGTCACGCAGCTACAATATTGAGAGTTATGGCGGAATGTGGTTGGCCCACTCGCAATCCATCGTGCTTCCCGGAAACCCGCCAGCTCTCGCATGGGGACTTGCGGGCTCCTGATTGAAGGCCCAAGCACTTGATCAGTGGTGAACAGCTCAGGCCAAAGTAAACAACCCCAACCAAAACCAAGGGTCCATGGGGCGTCGGTTGCCTGCCACCTTGACCCTAGCATCAACCCGCGCATGCATTGGATGGGGTTCCTCCGGCGGCTGGAGCTGAGAAACTGCCTGCACACGTTCTGCCGAGACTTCCCTTAAACGCAAATCCTTCCGCATTTTGGCCACGCAACTCGCGGTCCCCAATCCATGCCTAGGACGTTCTCTCTGGGCCACCCAGCACTGTTGTGCTGCTGCTGGTCATGGTCCTCCAAAGCGGGGGAAAACAACAGCAAAGCCCTCTGATCAAACAAGAGGAATCTATGGCAACATTTATGGCCTGAATGCGCAGCGCGGCCACCCTAAAATAGTCCAGGAGAACCTATGGTCGAACCTCAGGTCTTTTTCGGTGAAGGGCGTCTGTGGCTTGATTTGGTGCAGGTCTCTTGGGCGAACAAGCTCATCTCCAAGAAGGCCTTGCCCAAGGTCGCTTCCCTTCGAAGAAGCATGTTTTCTTTGAGCAGAGTTGTGGTAGAAGTGCGACTTGCACTGGGGCACGGAAGGGGCAGGGCTGTCAGGAATTCTCATGGCACCATTCCGCGCTTACCTGGTCGCTATCCCAAACTGCTGCTAGACAAGGCCAGGGTTTGCCTTTTGACCACGTAAACATAAAGGGACCTAACGAAAGTGTAACATGAAGACACCCTCCCTGCGACCCCTTCTTTTCCTGAGGGGTGTCAAACAATCTGATCCAGGCAAGCAAACAAAGATAAACAAAGCAAAGGGCAAGCGCCGACGCCCTTAGCTCCTGGTCGTGGTGGAGATGGACTGAGTAGTTGTGGATGTTGCCCTTAGGTGCAGCTGGAGATGCGTGTCACATCTTGCTTTTGAAGGGTATTTGCTTTGGGCAACCCAAAGCAAATACCGAGCCATGGACACTGGGGACGCCAAAGGTGCAGGGATACTTGTTAAATAGGGAGCTCAGGAGCCCAGCTACGCCTAGCATCTTGGTTAGCCGCAACATGTCGAGAATCGGGTCCCTGCGCGTGAGTTGTCCGTTTCTGGCGTAATTTCCACAAAAAGCAACCTTTGGGATCACAGAAATGGAGCTCAACATGCATACTTCTGTGGGCAATCCTTCTCATGCCACTCCGTCAGGTGACTCCATGGGAACCTTGGCGTGGCTTCGGGGAATAAGAGCCCCTTGGTTGGTCCCACGTGAAGCGGGGGAGCAGCTGTCATAGAAACATGTCAAGAAACCATAATCAAGAATTTGCAGCCAACAAAATAAAATGAGAAAACATATTTGAAGAAACTGGAAACAGAGCAGGCCACGGAACTGCCTCTCGAATTCAGACCCCCAAGTCTCTCAATCGGAGCCGCGTGTGCGTCTTTGTCGTTGACGCGCTCGTGGTGCTCGTGGTGTGCTCCTTGGGCCGAAAGGGCGCATGAAAAACCTTTGGGCCACACAGGGTCGTGCGCAAGCATCGCATTCGAAGACCCAAGGCTTGAAGAGTTTCAACTTGCATTTTGGCTTCAGCCACCAACCGCAACAAACAAAAGCTTGGGAGTGGGAGTTTCTAAAACAGTCCAGCGGCGGCTGCGCCACTCTCTCCTCTCTCTCTCTCGTCTTGTTGCTTTTTGTTGTTGTCTCTCCCTCTCTCGCTCTGACAAACCTTCTGCCAGGGAAGGGCGCTTCCTTCCAAACCATCGGCACGAGGACCCGTGATTCCCCTATTGAACTGAACCCGAACAATAAGTCACCAACCCAAACTCAGAAAGCCCCAAAAAGTAGCTTTCATCCTGGGTGTGGTTGCAAGCACCGGTGAGGTTGCCACATGTCGTCCGCAAAAGCTCAACCGTGCACACCAATGACCCTTGTCCTTTTTACTTGCTCACAGGACCTTGAAGAAAAAACAACCTTCATTTCACTGACCGTGACCGCAGTTCTGAATCTTGTGAAGCTCAGCCTACTCAACCCTTGGGTTTCTCCCTTGCCCCAACTGACCGGCGCAAAACTCAAGAGGTTGTTCAGCTTTCCTTTGCTTTCGATTGGGGGGTCAATTCATTTCAGAGGGGAATAGAAGAGTCCGGACGGCCTTTCGGTGGAGGGTAGTGCAGGTTCCCTAAATTCCCGTTGGTCCAAGTCGTTGGCACTGAATCCCGGGACAAAAAAATAAAAAACATATTCCACAAAACCTGGGAGAAAACAAGTCGATCTTTCCCACCCTCCCTTCCGCTTCCGCTTCCCGGGCGCCGGGAAGGCCACGCAGATCTCCCAGCCGCTTTTGGTCACCGAGTGGTCGGAGCTCCAGACGAGTTCTAGGCCCACGCCCACCTCGACGCCCGCAGGGCCTGCGAGGGCTTCGGCGGAGAGGGCGAGCACATGGCGCCTTTTCGTGTGTGTGTGTGTATTTGGGTATGTGCGTGTGTTCCTTTTCAACGGATTCACTACAGGCGGATTCTCTGACGGTTAAGAACCATGAAGCTGGCAAGCACGCCAAGGCAACCTGGCCGCACCGCTGCCGTGGGGAGGAGTGGTCCTGAATTTTGTGGTCCTGAAACCGTTTTTATCCCACAACAATGCCACAGACAGGGCCCAGCCTGCAGACCCACTGTATTGTTGCCCACTCACAGTCAGGATGTCGTACCCGCTTTCCTGCAGACCGGCAACGCGGCCCGGGGTTCCAAATGGCTTGAAAATTATTTGGGGGGAAAAAGCTTCAACCGGGTTCCTTGCAGGATGCATACAGGCAATGTTGAAACTCATCTTCAGCTGTTTGAAGAAGGCTCTGCCAGGCGATTTGGGAGAGCATGCTATAAGGGACCCTGTTCAAAATAACAAACGTTCATTGCGAAGAAAATGGCTGCTTCTATTCCTGGGTGCTGGCTCCCCGCTCAGTGCTGCAACTTTGTCACGGCGCCTTGCGATGTGGCTTGCTCGGAGTGCCAGCCCAAGCCAAAAAAGGACCGAAAAGGAAATACCTTGGCCATTTTAACCCCTCCTTTCCATCCGCTCGCCCTTCTGCCCACATGGTGAATCTTTTTCGTAATCCCTCCCCGCTCCCTTAGCGGAAGCTGAGGGGATCGGAAAACTGCACTATGAATGAAATCCCAAATGTCACCCCCTCCCCAACTCCACTTTTGATAACTTGGATGGCGATCTCGGAATTTCGGGTTCTGGCTTGCGAGTCCGACCGACCGGAGGGGTCATCACTTGCCAATGAGGGAATGACCCCCATGAACCATCCCATGTGATGCTTCTTGGGGAATCCCCAGGTTCAGTCTGTAGCCATCGCACCGATCGCACGCTTCGGGGGCCGACTTGGCCGAGGCGCCGTGTCGAAGCGCCCCACCCGCAGAAAGCCCCCCACGCCGCGCTGAAGGGCCGACAGCTCGCAGGTCTCCCGGTTGCTGTAGGCGTTGGGGAAGCTGGGGCCTGGGCTTCAGTTGAATTCGGGAGAACTCTCCCCCCCTAAGGATTTCCAAGGGAAAAACACCAGGAAGAAGCTTGCGTGCAAGTAGCGTAGTTACAATCAAGCGCATCGTTCTTGGTCTAGCTCTACGATTTCAGGCTTGAAGATGTGTGATATGTAATTGCTGTTCATCGATCGTTCTCATGCAGTAATTTCTTATTAGCCGATTCGCCGTATTCCTTCCCTCTCGGGGTGGCGGTGCATCAACTTGTCTACAGGGATTTCTCAACCCCATTCTACGTGCACACGCGGAAACCCCATAGAATCGTCTCAAGACACATGAGGCTTGGAGACCCAAGTGCTCGGTTTCAAAATGCTGTCATTTTCCCTGGGCTTGGGCGTGTTAATAGGTTTGGAAACTTCAAGCCCCGCCCTTCACCACGCTATGTCCTGAATGTATTGTGCCAGTCTTACGCAAAGTGTTTGCCACGATGTACTTTGTGGTACTTTGTGACTATCGCATCATTCCAGTTGTGGTTCACTTGGCCAAAACCCAAAAAATGAGCCATGGATGATACGAAAGCGGCAATATATGCCCAAGGCATAGTCAATGCCTCATATCAACACACGCATGAGGACCATGAAGCAAAAGGGAGGGACGTGTCCAGCATCCAACCTGCAGCCCTGTGATTGGCTTCAGTCAGGGTTTTGCCCGGCGTAACAAGTGCCGAATCCAGCACCTCTTGAAATGAGCTACTGACGCACATCTGGCACAGAGCCCTCACGGAGATGGGCTACAATGACCCCGAAATATGCTTCCCCGAATTTGCCAACATGGCCATTATATACACCCGACCGACTCGAGTTGCAAGTCCAAGCTGTTGAGATTCTCCCAACCCGCTCGAATGAGGCTAGACAATTGGTCGATGGTAGATGCCGCGTTGCTGTAGATGCAGAAGATGTCGGTGGTGCAAGGGCCGCTTTTCAGAGTCCACAGCGGCAGGATGTCGCAGAACTCCCATTCCACATCGTCGTCGGTGGTGAAGCACCAAATCCTCACCGAATAAAATAGGGGTAATCCTTCATGGCCCAGAAAGGTTAAACCCCTAAGAAGGTTGCAAGAAGCTTTCCTGGGTTGCAGGAGGGGCTTTGGATGCTTCCCTATCAAAGAACTGAAGCAAACTTGCTTGCAAACAGCAAGCTGTGAAGGAATGACTGCTTGGTGTTCGGGCTCTTTTCGCCTCCTCCCGTCGCAACTCGCGAAACCCACGCATTCTGGGAGTGGCTTGCATTCTGTAGACTTCAGCACGCAACGATCACCACAAAGCGGCGGCAGCAAAAATTCCCACGTTTTCTGGGCCGTTCCGGCTTTTCAGTGCAGCCCGAGGCGCGTGTTCCTGCCGTCGGGGTTGCGACAGTAGTTCAATGACAGGTCCGCTTCTGGGAAGTTTGCGGCTGTGTAGGGCTCCACGCTGTGCGGGCTGCTGGCGTCCCAGCGCTGACACGTCTTGCCGGTCCTGCGATCCCCGTGGTGACTCCCCAGAAAGTGGGCTTTAGCCCAGGCTTTCCTCTAGAAATTCAACCACCAAATCAAGCCTACCTTGGGCAGCAAAAAATGAAACCCTGATTTAGTCAGAGGGGTGAGGAAGTTGGAATTGGGTGAATCTGCCAGACAATGCCAAACAAAAATCCAGTGCACCTTTCGAATCCTCCGTGGCATGACCTTCGGGCTACCCGGGTGAGCCTTCACAATCCCTGCCCCTGCCCGCATCTTGGATCTGCTCGCCCCGGAAGCCTCCAAATCTCTTCTGTTTGTCCACAGCATATGTCCTGAGGGCAACTGGGTATGCACCAACCATTTTTCAAACCTAATTCAGGGAAGAAGGATATTCGCTCCCTCCACTCTCCCTGGGTCGCGGCCTCGTCACCGACTGGCAGCCCCGGTAGTCTTTCCCCTTGCCGGTCAGCCCCTCGCGGCAGTCCTCTACCTCCTGACAGGAAGCTGCCGAGTTGGCGAGGTGTGCCTCCCTTTTTTCATGGAGCCTCTAGACAAGGCGTCCCCAAAAAGCGCCCAAAAGGAGGCTGGGTTTGGGGGTCCCGCGTTAGTGTGCCGGGTACAGAAGAAGCTAGTTTGTTTTGGGGCTTGACAAAGATGATGAACACATTGACTAACTACATACTCACGGTTAGCTCGCTCAACAGGTAAGGCGAGGCCCAAAGGAGCAATTGATCCCACGAATCTTCTCTCAATGGATCCGAATGCAAAGACAAACCACTGACCGACCCTCCCACTAACCTGCAACCTGAAATAGTCGGGATGTCGATCTCCCAGGAACCTTCAGTCATCGAAGGTCGAACGCAACCCCTGTCACGAGCCCCTTCCAAGAAGGTTCCGACCGAGCCTGCTGATTGTGGCAATTAGCCCCGATCCCAGTGACTCCCAGTGCTGCTCGCTTTTTCCCCTTCCTACACCCTGATGCTCTGGACACAGTGGCGCAAGCATGCGTCGAGGCCGGGCACGTTCCTACTGGGCGAAGAATGGGCTACAGCGCTGAGGCACCAAAGGAGCTTGCATGGTCACTCGATCCGAAGAGCGCGAACCCGCCATGAAATCCTGCTCTTCCCTTGGTGGCTGCCAAAATCTCAGCCTCCCTCCCAGGGCCTCACTGGCACCGGGAGGGACGGCCGCAGGAAATCGATGGAACTACTGTCCGCTTCGCGGAGGCCGGCTTCGGCCCGCTTGGGCCAAAGAGCCCATGTGCTCTGAGGCGGTGCTTAGCCGCCGGGCCTTGGCAAACGGTAACCCGGGCGATCGCCACCTCGATGTGATAACCAAAGAAGACTCGAGCCTGGTTTCAGCTTGATTCCCATCTTTTTTTAAACAAAAAAAAGAAGAAAAAAAACATGAAGCTCCGACTGAAAATTAGAGGGTTTCGCCAAGGCCCAGTGCCGTCGAGACTCCGACAGCTGAGGCCACTTGCCTGTGGGCTGCCTGTGGGAACCATTCAGGGGGATTAGGGCAACCAGGTCAATCAGCCTGAGCCATGGCTCATTGAATGCCCAAGGTGTGCAAGCTTTTGCCATGAGTGATTGAAGCTTGACAAGCCTCTATAGGCCTAAACCCACTCTTGCCGAATCGCTCGAATTCATTGAGAAAACATTGGTTTGATTGGGGAGGCTCGAACGGTGGGATACGGGCAAGCTCGCAGGCAAGTGTCGTGCATTGGGCGGATAATCCTCGATGTGCGGTTTCGATGCCATCAAAACAAACGGGTGCGCGTCGGGGACCCTAAAATGGTGGTCCTCCTTTTGGTTTCCCTTTGAACCAACCCTAACAAGGGTACCCTCAAAAAAACGCACACCCATATGCACCAGTCACGGCAATCACACGTCAAAACCGCAAATGGGTAACTTTGGCGTTTTGACCGTTTTCTCCTTCGGAGGAAAGTCCGAGCTACTAAGCCTCCGTATGGAGGGTGGGCGTAGTGCTTGACGTCAAGCGTGTCACCACTTGTAATCCTAAAAGCCCTCTGGAAACTTCTGGCTGGACTTTGCAAAGTGGGCCAACCCGGCCCCTCCCACGCATACGAAGCGAGCCAAGACTTCTACACAATAACATTATCTTTTCTTCAGCGCGCATGGCCATGTTTCCAGGGGGCGCTCGGCCACGAGCCGGCTATGCTACGTCTCAAATTTCAAAGGCTTCACTCGACCTGGAATGCCTGCGCAGCTCCAACCCCTCCAACTTGGGTGGCTTGGCACTTTGGGGCTCATCCGAAAAGCGCGTTGCATATTCTCCGCGGCCGTAGGCCTATCCCAAGTTTGGCCAGGGCCCAGTTCCTTTTGGAATATGCAAGGGGCTGGCCTAGTTGCATGAGATGTGGTCTAATTTTCAGCTGAACTAATGCAACGGGCATAGTACAGGATCTTCATGGTGTCGCTTTACCCTTAGACGAGCTCGCCATAATTTGCTCAAATCAAATACCAGGTGACACCTGAGCAAAGCCGCGGCAGTCCGCTGGGCCTTGGTGGGGCAGGTAGATCTGGCGCCGGAGGAAGCTCCGGCTTTGTTGGCAGCGACAGGTTCGGGGCCTTCGCAGCTGGTCGGTTTTCGGCGCCAAACCGAAATGTGATCCTTCTCCTGTGGCTTACTGGGAATTCAACCTATGCGCCATTGAACGCTGGGGATTGGTCTCTACACGTTGGCCCTCCCCAGGGCGGAAAAAGAGTCCAACAGAGTCCCGAGGACCAGAGCCGAGTCCATCGGAGTTTTGCTTCTGCACAGGGTTTGGTACCTGTTGTCCATTCCTGTCCATTCCCCTGTGCTGTGCACCTCCCCCCCACCCCACACCCGCGCCTGCGCCAGGCCCTTCCCCCCTGCGCTGGGGGAGGGCGGCACGGAAGGGAAGCTCACGCGGCTCGCGCCGCGCCGGAGGCCTCAGGGGAACTCAGCTCAGAGCTCGACGGAAATCCCCAAAAACCTACCCTTGCTGGTTCTCAGGGCAAAAAAAACCATCCCCTATGGCTTCCAACAAAACCACCTTCCGGTTCACATGCTGGGTCATTCCCTACTGAGGAGCGGTGAGAAAACAAGCACGTACATCTGGCCCCCCCCCCACAACAAACAATTTGCACGAAAAGCTTTCAAAAAAAAGTCGACAGAGACAAGATTCGGAAACAACGTCGGACGAGTCATTCGCTCACAAACACGTGGGTGATATCTTTCATGTCCACTAAGCAAGTTAATTGTTGAAATGCAAGCAGGCTTTGGCGGTTACGGGCGGGTCGCTCCATGCTTCACTTCCTAGGGTGTGCAACGGGGCAAAATGGACCTACACCAACAACTCCACAAATGAGAGCGCTGCATTGGTGAAAGGCGCTTGTGCCCTCACTCCCCACGCAAAAAGGCAATCGAAAAGGCATGTATCAACCAACCCTTTCAACCCGCCCCCAACCTTCAAGGCTTTACCTTTTGGGATCTTGACTCTATGGACCGAAAAGAGCCACCTATCGGGTTACAAGGTCGATTCAGTCGATCCGCTGGGCAACTAAGAGGTCATTCCGCCTGGCCCCCTTGTCTTTCAGGTGCCTTGGCGGGCGCATGCATCAGGCGTCTCCGGTGGGGGCGCTGGCTTGGGCGGCAGTGGCGAGGGCGGCACCGGCCCCGGGGTAGGGGGCGGCGCAGCTGGCAGCGAAGGCTGCGGCGGCAACGACTCCAAAGGCAGCCTGGAAGGCCGGGGAGAGTCGCAACTATAGGGGCCTCGATAAGGCATCCTAACAATTTGAATGAGGAGCTGGATGACTTTAAACCAAATTAAATTGAGTCGGCATCACAAGAGAAAGATCATGAAAGATCTGTGAATTTGTGTAGCCCCTTGTTTCACACAGCTGCTTGCAGGATCCAGCGGAGAATGTGGTCTTTGACCCTCCCTCCCACCACTGCCCCTTCCAACCGGCCTCTCGGCATGCGCGGGCGTGCCCCGCTCTTGCAGCCATGCCGGCGCGAAGCTGCTGGAAGCGGGCGCCCGGGACTTGCTGGGGGACTTGCTGGGCGAGGCAAAGGTCAGATCCTCCTCGGGTGACGGCGTCCCTCATGAGCCACCCACGCGTTTTTGTTGAGGGCCCCGGGTCCACAGAGCAAGCTTTTTCACAAAAGAAAAAAGACATCCTCCCAGTAAGGAACCTCAAGGTTGGGTTTGCTCATGTCTACCCCAGCTTGTAATTTGCCAAGAACTGCGTGCCAATCCACCTCCTCCGGCAGGTAGCGCTCCAGCTCCAACGTGGGCGGTCGAACACCCTTCTTCTTGCGCGGGCGCTCGTTGCCGCTCGCGCGCTCGGCGGGGACGGGGGCGTCCTCGGCCGCGCATGTGCCTGGGAGCTCGTTGAGCTCCTTGCTGGACAGCGTACAACACATGTCCTGTCTGCTGGAGAAGCCCGGGTCGACAGCGTGATTGACTTATGGGCGTCTTTCCAACTAATGGTTGGACAAATTTGGTGCATTCAAAAAAACATCAAGAGCGGATGTTCAACCATGGGACGACCGATCTACCTAACATGAGCAAGCAAACAGGCTGGAAACTCCAGAAGAATCAATTGAGTTGAACCCTTATGTGGCGGTAGGTATGCAATGGCTAGATGGGGCTGCATTTACATCTCTCCTCCCGCGCCACAGCCGCTGGGCTCGTTGGGCTCGTTGGGCCCGATGGGACAGCGGCGGGCGCCTTCTCCTCCGACACCGTCTGCAGAGGCCGCCGCTTGGGCGACTGCGAGAGGCTCGGCCGCACCAGGTTGCTGGGCGAGGACAGTGCGGCGAAGAGGGGCGTGGGCCCGGGCGCATCGTCGCGGGCCTAGCCGTGAGGCATATGCCCCGCATCTCAAAACAGAACACCCGCTAAGGAACCAAACTGCTGCGGAAAGGCTACACGCCCGCGTATGAGTCCACAAAGGGTTGTAATTAACCGTAAAACTTCTGAAGTCACCAAGAAGGCAACATCCTCAACACCGAGGCAAGTCATGGCAAACTGTAGCTGTTCTGGCAAAATCTGGCATGTTGCGTGAAAACACTCGTATGACTAGTTTGCCACTTTAAGCAGGGGGCCCCTGGGCCGTAAAATTCAGACCATCGATTTTCTTGCCTGCCTCCGCCTCCATTGGCCTCCCACCCGCCCGGGCCCACGCTGCCTTCTTGGGGGACGGCAGTCGCGCGCCGCTCGGGGAGTTGAGGTCCACATAGAAGGTCTCTGAGCTCGGGGACGGCGGCACCGCCGACGACACCGGCGAAGACGCGGGCGAAGCGGCGGCCCTCACGCTGGGCGAGCTCGGGCAGATGCGGGATTGGTAGCCTGGGACTTCATCGCGAGAAAAGGAAAAAGGTCAGGAAAGCTGGGGCCCCCACCACACCCGAAAAGAGCTTCCTAGAACCGTCTTGACACATGCACAAACTGCTCAGCTCTAGAAAACAGTCTGGATGTATCTGGTTTGGGGGTTCCTCCGGAAGTGCCCCTCTTTCAGTGCTCCGTTGATATCCTAATTTCCAGGGGTGAATCCGCAAAAGTTGCCAAACTGCACCCGGATTCCGCACACCAAAAAATTACACCAGCAGAGACCCCAAACAGTTGAGGGCTGACGGGCGAGCACAAACATGCCAACAGCTTGTGGCTTTCTGCGCTTCAACACGGATGAATCAAAATGATGCAGTCGTGAACCTGGCGCGCGTTGCGTTGCTGCACGTGTGTTGCTGGCGTGCTTCGCGCTTCAGCACCGCGCCAGAACTGAGGTTGGGCAAGCGCGCGCGATGGCGGGCGAGCGCGCGCGCGTGAACGCAAGTGTGGCCGCGCAAGCACGCAGTCACATGGGCAGTTCAAACACACATGTCCAATTCAGACACACATGTGTGTACACGTGGAACACACATACGTATACGACTGAAACAGTATACATTCACCTGCGGCACACGCATAAATGTGTTGAGCTGGAAAACAAACATGTGCTTCTTGGAAAGCA